CACGCACACACATACACTAAAACGCTGGTTATCCAGAGCCTTTTGGGGAGGAGCCCTTGCTAACAGGTGGGCTCTCCTGACGGTGGGCCTTCACCTGCCACGTGGTCTCGCTGTGTCCAGAGTTGTGGTTCCCACAAGTGACTCAGCCTGTGCAAACTTCCCCGTGAGGGTATTCTGAGCTTTCAGAAAACTCACCTTATAGGACTGAGTTCTTAACTCACCTCCCTGGGGGCTTCTCCAAGGATCTGTGGGGGAACCCCCATTGCCCCGGGGCATGTGCCTTCTGGGTTCCTGCAGGAAGCAGTGTGCTTAAGCGGAGAGAGAGTGGCTTTGGGGTCAGATGGATCAGGTATACAATCCTGAGCACAGCTGAGCTTACCAAACTACGTGTGTGTGTTTGTGTGTGTGTGTGTGTGTGTGATGGGCTCCTAACCCGACAGGCTGGTGCTGAGGATTGAATGACCTAGTATAAGTCAGCAGCCTGGGTCTTGATAAATGGACGCTCCCTTCTTTTCCTCTGGTTCCTTCTTGCCTTTGTCAGGGGGTACTTGTGCCTGGAGTGACCCTACTCCGTCCTAATTTGTGATCTCTAGTCTTCCACTGACTGGGAAAGCAAACGCCAAAACTATTAGAATCGTGTCTCAACTAAGAGTCAACAGGTTATGAGTGGCTGAATCTTGGGTGTATGCTTTGCAACTTAAATTTGCTTACTCGGGGCCTTTTCTAACTTCTTTTCTTGGCCTGGGTCTGGCTAAACGAGGCATTGGTGGGTAACGCTAAGGATACCATCTTCTCTTCTTCACCCTGGCCTTGTTTAGGCCTCAGCCCTGTGGGTCCAGAGTCCCAGGTTCGCTACACCATGATCAACGCGCCCAACATCACTAAAGACTACATTTCCTTTGATATCAACGTAAGTGCCTCCTTGTCAGCCCAGAGCTGGGGATTTGTTTCCTCTGGAGTCCTTGGTGTTCTGGAAGATTCCTAAAGGAGCAGAAGAGTTGAGGGGAGAGGAGCTGGGAGCCTTCCAGATGGGAGCATGGCACGTAGGCAAAGGCGTGAGGCTGCCAACATGGGGCGCCTTGGGGTGGGCAGCATCTCGCAGCCCAGGATCTGCCGTGGAGCTGCCTGCCTGTTGAGGCTCCACTGCCTCTCCCTCCCTCCTCGCCCCCACCCCACCCCCCGCAGGCTGTCCTCTTCCTGCTGGGCAAGCCCATCATCCTGCCTATGGATGCCACCCCCTTCGTGCTGCCATCGCACGTGGGCACCAGTGGTGCCATGGCAACCGTGGGCCTCTCCCAGGACCTCTTTGACTCTGCCATCCTGCTGCTGCAGAAGGCTGGTGCGCTCAACATGGACATCACAGGGCAGCTGGTGAGGGCCGGTCCTGCTGCCCAGGGCACGTGGCCCAGCCTGGGAGGACCTGGCAGAGGCCAAATCATGGGTGGGTGGGGCAGCTGGAGCTTTGGGGCCACAGGGTGGCTGTTGGAAGGGTTAAATGGGGTGATCGGGAGGCAAGAAGTGGTCTAGCTCGGGGAGTTGTTGCCTTAACACCTACCATGTATGGGGGCTCATTTCAGAAGTTGAGTAACAACCCGCTGAACACCTCCACGCTGGGCCAGGTCATCCCTGAGGTTGGTGATGTTTCTGGTCATTCCAGGGGCTGAGACCCAGAGCTGGAGTGGGAGGCTCTCTGGGCTGTGGGATCTCTGTTGGATCATGTCTACTCCAAGTGGGGTTCAGCACCTGCCCCTTTATCTGCACCTCCTCCACCTCCCGGATGGCCCCTTCTTCTGTCCAAAACTTGCTCTGTTTTCTCCTCTTTGCAGTGCACAAGAGGTGCCCTCTGCCCTCAGCATCTTTTCTCCTTCCTTTTCCTTATCCATCTTCAAGTCCGAGCACAAGGATTACCTCCTAAGGGAGGATGAAGCCTGTCATCCGGTCCAGGAGCCTCCTTGTGCTCCCAAGCCCATCCCTCCCTCCTGGTACCGATTGCACAGGATGTGCCTGTCTTCACGCTACCACCATCAGACTGGGTGTCCCTGAGGGCAAGGGGCAGGGGTGGACCCACCTCGGTGGCCCAGGCATGTACAGCACAATAGTGGCTTGATCGGTGTCTCAGGAATAATGGAGTCCACCCAGCCTTAGCCCCCAGGTGCCTTCCTCCCTCTCGCCCTCTCTGCTCCCCAGGTGGCCCGCCAGTTCCCCGAGCCCAGGCCCTTGGCACTCAAGGTGCAGCTGGATGCCATACCCGTGGTCACACTCCATACCAACAATGCCACGTTGAGGATACAGCCCTTTGTGGAGGTCCTGGCCCCAGACTCTGACTCGGCTTTCCAGTCCCTCTTCTCCCTCGATGTGGTGAGTGAGGTGGGCTGGGTGGGGTTGGCCAGGGGGATGGGTGACTCTCAAGGAGACCCCACTTCCTCCCTCGCTCACCTTACTTGCTCTGCTCTATCCACACCGGTCCCCTGGCTGTTCCTTCAATGTGCCAGGACATTTCTGCCTCAGGACCTTTGCACATGCCTCAGACATACTTCCCCTTGTTCTTGGCATGGCTGGCTCCTCCTCATCTTTTGGGTCTTAGCTTCAATGTCACAACCTTCCTCCCAGCAGCCTTCCAGGACTACTGGGAGAAAGATGGTCTCCACCAGCCTCTCCACACAACTTCATGGCACCCACCACTCTCTGAAAGGATCCTGTCTGATTACTTTGGTTATTGTTCACCTCATCCACTGACCTGTGCTTCAAAACCCTGAATGAATAGGGGGATAGGTGGGAGGCTAGGGTAGCTGGTGGCCAGCTGAGAGCTCTCCCATGGCTCTGTGCCCTTTGACCCCATTCTCCCCACACACCCAGGTAGTGAACCTGAGCCTCCAGCTCTACGTGTCTGAGGTGAGACTTCAGGGGACCACGTCTGTGTTGGGGTAAGTGAGGCCTCCTGGACCCAGCAGCCTCAACGTGTTCCTCTGTGCAGTGAGCCTGCAGCCACCCACCACAGTGTCAGTCAGAGGAGCCTGGGAGGCAGCAGGCGTGGTACGCGGGTGGCGGGCACTAGGCCCCATTCCTAACCCCCCTGCTTCCCTTTCAGGAATGTCCAGGTCACCGTGGCCTCCTCTAATGTGGGCTTCATTGAAGTGAGTGTGGTGCTGGGGTCTCCAGATACCCCCTCACTGGGTGGGGCAGGCCTTGAGCTCGGGGAAGGGGAGTGTGTCCACGTGTGCTCACGTGCGTGTGTCCCTGTACATGCTGCTGCCATCAGGCTTCCTTCCTGCGGTGCTTGGGGACAGTGGCCCACCCATCGGACAGTATGTCTTTCCCAGGCTGTCCGTCTGCTAGGCAGCCAGTCAGCCAGCCTCGGCGGGGTCAGTCAGTCGGTCTGTCCCTCTGCCTGGGCGTCGGCGGCTTGTCAGCCCCGCCCTAAGCCCAAGAATCACTGAGTCCAGTAGTACGTTTCTATGGAAGCCAGCGTCAGACAGTGTCAGCTGCTCTTGCAGTCACATGACATGGCTGGCCCACCAGCTGCCCTGCATCCCTTTGTCGAGTGGCCCACCAAGTCGCCCCATCAGTCTGTCCACCGTCAGTTGATCTGTCTGTTGATCGGCACAGCAGGGCAGCCAGTCCCTCTGCCGGGCACACAGTGAATGAAAGTCAGTCACGGGCTGGCCTCTCAGCCTCCCCTCAGGCCAGCATTTCCGGTGCCTGATGCTGACCCGACCCCAGGGATAGCTGGCTCTGCTTGAAGCCCGGACCAGGGTGACCTGCCCTCATCCCTCCCCCGTGTCTCTACTGTCTGTGTGTCTGTCTGTGTGTTCACATGTGCCGGCCTGTCCGTCTTGCTGGGGCGGGGCTATGGTCACCATCTCCCTGGCTCCACGAATGCAGATGGAGCAAGTGCAGTCACTCATGGGTAACGTGTTTCAGAGGCCCCTGCTGGACCACCTCAATGGTGAGCTCTGCCCTCTGGCCCCCCTCCTGTCCCTCCACCTGCTCCAGGCTCCAACCCAGCCCCTTTCTACCTCCTAGGCTCAGAGATTAAGAGGGTGGCCTCGGGAGTCCAGCTGCCTGTGTGCGCATCTTGGCTTGACTGTTTAGCAGCTGGATGATCTTAGCTAAGCTCTGTGTCCTCCCTGAGGCTCAGTTTTCCCTTCTGTAAAGTGGGTATAATGATACTGGTTCCTACTTCTGGGGTATCTGTGGAACTCAGTGTCACAGTGCACATGAGGACTTCCACGCAGAGCCAGCTCCAGATGATACTTTGTTACGGTCTTCCAGCTGAGCGTGATTTCTTCTTGCCCTCCTGCAGCTCTCCTGAGCATAGGGGTTGCCCTCCCCAGTGTGATCAACCTCCGCTACATTGCCCCTGAGGTCTTCGTCTACGAGGTGAGAGCCTTTGGGTGTGATCAGAAGGGCCTCCTCCATCCTTAGAGGGAGGCTGGGCTTGGCGATGCGGGGGTCACCTCTCTCCTTCCCTTCCTGCTGGTGCACACACTGGGGTCCAGGGTCAGCCAGGCCTGGGAGTGCTCCCTGCTCCCACCCAGGTCATGCCATGAATCATCAGTTGCAGTGTGATGGACAATTCAGGATGTTGAGAGACATTGGAGCAAGGGTTTCACCCACTCTTTAGTCCTCATCAAGTATCACACCAGGCCACATTCAGGGGATTAGGGCCTTTGATTGTCCTATGACTCTGTGTCCTGGGATAGGCATGGGCCCCTTAGAGTCTGGGGGAGGGCGGAGGAGGGGGCTCTTCCAGCTTTGTACACAAACCTCCACAGGCTGGATGTGGGAGGGGATTCTAACCCTTCTAAATGACTTTCCCTGGATCAGAAATTGTGGACCGGGGTGAAATTCAATCCCCACCCCCTAGGACGAGATCCTACAACTTCTTTCTGTTTCACCCGAGATTTGAAAGGATAATATTCTTTCTAATTCACTCAATAAGACGTGCACAGGACAGAACGCTTAGCCAAGGTCCCTCAAGCCCACCGTCTCCGTGTCTCACTTGCACTCCCTGAGTGCAACCTCCTGATGTCCTCCAGCGGGGACGCCCTCACTGTTTGAGAACTGTGGTCCCAGGCAGTTGGGTGCTCTACCCCGCTGAGCAGGAACAACCAGCTCACGCTGGAGCAGGGCTTTTGGTGGGAATTCCCCCAAGACTTCCTCAAACAGGCAGAGTTGGTGGCTGAGCCACCTTGGCACTTCCAAATCCAGCCACCTGGGTCTGAAGTCAAAAGTTCCTAGACCTATACTGTCTGATAGAACTTCCTTTAAGGATGGAAATCTGCACTGTCCGAGGCAGTGGCCATGATCAGCCGCTGGGCACATGTGGCTATTGGGCACTAGAAATGTGGCCAATGCAACTGAGGAGGTGAATTCTAAATTTTACTTAATTTATATGCACAGCAGTCCCCCTTCATCTGCAGGGGATATGTTCCAAGACCCCCCCAGTGGATGCCTGAAACTGCAGCTAGATTGTACCAAACCCACATATACTATGTTCTCCCTATACTCACGGGCAGGTAGCACAGACAATGTGGATCCGCTGGACAGAGGGATGACTCATGTCCAGGGTGGGATGGAGCAGGATGGCGGGAGAGTTCATCACGCTACTCAGCATAGCATGGAATTTAAAACTTATGAACTGTTTACTTCTAGAATTTTCCATTTAACATTTTTGGACTGTAGTTAAACTTGGGTAAATGAAACCATGGATAATAGGGGACTACAGTAATTAGCCACATGTGGCTAATGGCTACTGTACTGGACCACCTATGAGCTACACAAAGGCAGGCACTGGGTCTGATTTTTTTCTCTGCTGGGTCCCCAGGACCTGGCACAGGGCTTGGCTCAGAGTAGAGGCTCAATGAAGATTTGCTGAACGAATGAAAGGAAGGAAGGAAGGAAGGAAGATAGGTCAGCAGGCCCCCAGGACGTTTCTGCAGTACAGTAAAGAGAGCAGGGGACATATAGGGGATGCCTGAATCTGCTGGGGAGACTTGAACTTGGAGAAGGCACTCAGTGGTTTGGACTCCTGGCCATAAAACAGAGATGATCCTGACCATTTGCGGAGCATGCATCCAGCTCCAGCTCCAGCCCCACGCTGAGTGCTCTGCCTGCGCAATCTGGCTGCATCCTTAGAGTAGCCTTTGCGAGGTGGATGATGTCACCACCCCAAGTGACAGTAGGAAACTGAGGCCCGGAGAGGCAAAGGACACACACAGCAAGAGTGACAGAATATGAACTCAGAGCCAGGCTGATGGGGCAGCTGGGGTCCTATGGTCCTCGTGTCCATAGACCTGACCTGATGGTTGTCTTTGCCCTTCAGGGCTACATTGTGGTGTCCGGCGGACTCTTGTACCAGCGCTGATGTGGGACCACTTGGAGTGCTGCTCTGGGGACCCTTTTGCCTCGAGCCACTTGGGAAACCTAGGCAAAGCCACACTTAGACATCACCAGCAAGCTGGATGGCCCGGCTAGCTGCTTAATCCCACCCTTTCCCCTTCCCCTCCCTGGTCCCGCCTTCATCCCTTCTTTGTAAGGAGCAGGTAGCTCCTCCAGGCTGCACAGACCTGTCTCCTCTTGCATTAAACATCTTCTCTTGAGCTGCAACTTCCAGCCAGGCCTGGCCAACTCTTTGCATACCAGAGGCCAGTGCTCCACATGCAGGCGTTGGTCCTGTCTGTCGCTGGAGCCACCAACGCTGCCTGGAAGAGGAAGAGGACATGATCACATCCCTGTTAACCGTACCTGTCCACAGCATCACCTCCTAGTCCAGGGAACCAACTGGACGAGCTGGAAGTTACTGATGCCAGGGTGACACTCTCCTCACTGTGTCCTCACCTGGTGGCATTTCCTCTCTACAGTGCCATGTCCCGTCCTGTTCCTAGAACCTCATAAGAGCCCTTCAAGTCAGGCAGGCAGAATGTGCAGCTCCATTTCACAGATGCGGAGAGGAATGTGCCCAGAGTCTCAGAGCTGGATGACAGCAGATCTCTAGGACTGCGACCTTCCTAGAATCCAGACTTAAGCTCTCCAGAGCCCTCTTCCATCCCCAGCACCCCCATCCCAGGGTTTGTCCTTTGGTCACAAGTCTCAGGTAATGGTATTTCACTGCCTTTTCAGGCAGTTTCTCCATCTTTGGTTTACTTGGATCACAAGCGAGTTTTTGTTCAGAGGAGGCAGGATCTGCCTCCCAGGCCTTTGGCCTCACTGAACACATCCAGTTCCTCTTCCTGCTGAAAGCTCTTTAAACCCACCACGTCACACGCGACAAGATGGCCTAGGGAAAACCCAGGGACACAAATACTGGCAAGACAAAGCCATGTGATTTTCTCTCTCTGATAAGCCAATCTCTTTGCCGGAGATAGTATTCCTTCCTGCCTAGATACACAGGATTCATGGTCTGTGTATGTTTCCCTGGGGACCGGCTTCAGTGGCTGTTCTCCCATCCACACCATTCACCCCAACCCCTCCAGAAATCACAGGAAGCCCCCTCCTCTACCAGGCCTCCCCTCCACCTCCCTTCCATGTGCCCTCTGGTTAGCATCCTGCTCATTCCGAAGGAGGCTAAAACAAATTCTGAATTCTCTCCTACATAGAGACTTACACGGAAGGGTACATTCAGAGCCCGCAACAATGAACTGCCATGACCTCTCAGGTCTGACGCCTTCATGAACCTCCAACCTCCAACCTGTCCATGCTCCGCCCGCCCTTCACCTTGAATGTGCACCCTGCATGTTTCCTCTCTAGCTCTTGGCCTTTGACCTCACTCTTTGCTCCATCTGGGCCACCTTAATCTGAACCAGTTTACTCCCCTACACCCCCCCCCTCAGCTCAAATGCAGTCTCCCCAGGCCTCATGCAACCCCTCTGCCATGGTGACTCACGTCCTTCAATTTCCGAGGATGGTTGTTGGTGTCTGCCCCTTCCCTCCCCAACTACACCTCTCTGACTTTCCAGAGCCCCGCATCCAGCAAATGCATAATAAGTATGTGGTCAGTGAGCTGCTTGCACGTGTGATGTTGGAGCTCTAGCCCAGCCTTGCCCAGCTCTGAGCTTGGGAAGCCGTGTGGAGCCCAATCCCCGTAGGCAGGTGGGGCTGCTGGCCTGGGAATCACCCTTATTGGGTCTGTGAGGAAGAAAAAAGATGGCACTGAGCTTCAGGGCTGGCAGAGGTGGGGGAGAAGGGGGTTGGGAAGTTTCCCTGGAGGAGGAAGCCGCAGCTGGTCCTGGAAGAGTGGTAGGATTTGGAGCAGTGGCAGGGACCAGGCAGGTAGGCAGCACCCCTCTGGTGGTGCCTTGGCAGGTCTTAGTCTGGGCTCTGGAGCCCCTTGGATCCAGATTCAGCTCCTGGCTGTGCTATGACTCGCTGTCTCCCCCTGGGCAAGTGGCTGTATCTCCCTGAGCCTCAGTTTCTCTATCTGTAAAGTGAAGAAGTTTACCAAAGTGCCCGCCTCATAGGGTAGTCAGGATTAAATGGACTTCAATGTGCGTATCAAACACTCAGCACGCTGCCTGGCTCAGGTCAGATGCACAGAAAGGGGCCCTCTGATTATCATTGTCAGCAGCGTTAGTAGCACCGGGAGAGCTGGGTCCGAGGGCTTCCAGTGGTTCCTGTCACAAGCTGGCTGGACCAGTCTTCCCGGGGAACCCTGAAGCCATGTGATGACCCAGAGCCCCAGGAAAGACTCTGTTTCCTTAATGTATTTTTAGGGCGCTTGCCTCCTCTCTGGCCATTGGAACTTGGCTGGGGACACTTTACTTTGAACTCAGGGACGCGACTGTCCTTTTCCCTCTCAGAATTACTGTTATTATTCTACCCCCTCATCATAAAGAGGATAAAACAGGGAGGTTGGAGGAGCCACTGCAGGCACACAGCTGGTGAGGGCAAGTGACTGGGACTGGGGCCCAGATCCCTGAACTCACACAAAGGGATGTCTCCAGGCTCCCCAACCCCATGTCCTTCCTGCCTCCCTGCCCACCCCCCCCACCCCGTACCTAGAATGGCCCTGGGGGAGGCAGGGGAGGCTGGGTGACTGGAGGCACACTGGGGCGGGTTTGCATGTGAGGAGGAGGTGGGGCCTGCTGGTCACTCTGTCTGTGGGGGCGGATCTGCAGGGATAAAATGATGCTATCTGTAGTCTGGCTCCTCCAGCTCAGGGCCTGGATCAGGATGGAGACTGGCTGGGCTGACCTGGGTCCTTC